CATGGTGCCGTTACCCCCATAGGGCTTTATCAAAGCTATCCGGGCCACCGGGGCCATGTCGCCGAGTCCCCAACCCACAACCCACCCTACCTGAGATAGCACGTTCCTTGATTCGATGCACAGTGCACACCCTTCCTCTTGTGATAGAGGGATCGAACCGCTGATCCGCTAACCAAATATCTTCGAACACTCAGATGACGTCTTCCTTTAATTTCTTCGGCAGATTTTTGGATCCTTCTAGGAAGATTACCGTAACAGTCCGCAACCTTCAACCAGTTGACCTTGATTTCGTCCAAGGACCGGTTGAGTATGAAGCGAGCCTCGGTTCCCTCCTCCCTCAGTTCTCTTCAAACCAGTAGTTGGTGTTTTATTGTGGCGGAGATCTATTTCCGTTGCCGTCCTCCTCCTCCGGTCCCATCTGCGGTCTCGGTGGTATCGGTGTTCCCGAGTCGTTCTCTGCACCCACCATTCCAACGTCCACTCCATGTGGTTAAATTGATCTCCATTCACAGCCCCCTTGGGGGCTCCTGCATCGTCAATAACCATGGCAGTTGGCTTGTAACTCTTTTAAATAAAAATTATGATTGGTGCCTCCGCACCTCTCGGGCCAACTTGATGGACAAGTGTACACTCCATTAGAAGATGGCTAGACCCGTCAGTCAGACTATCTGAGGTTTCAGAAGGCTAGCCTACATGCGCCACAAAGAACAGACATGGCTGAAGCTTCGGTCGGCACGTAAACCAGTTTGGCAAGCACGTCAGCTGCTTCCTGGCGGCTAGACCGGCCGAAGCCGGTGGCGGCGGGACCGAGCACAATTTTTGCGCCGTGAACCGGCGCCCCCTATCACCACATTTTCATCAAGGACTCATAATCAGGAGTAGTGGTAGGTAGGTAATGTGAGGTGAAATTGAGAGGAGAAACAAACAACAACCGGGACCTCGGACCTCGGCTCATCAGGACTGGTCCAAACATAACGGCCGAGAAATTGACCTGAACCAATCATTGGTCCGACGCTCAGGAAACAATCCTCGACAATATTTAATTCAGTCCATCAAGAAAATCGCCCCCAACTCATAACTGAGACACTCAAGGCGTACTGACACTAGCACTTTTTTCACTTCTGGTTTTCACTTCTGGACGGAATTCAGCCAAATGCGTACCGGTCCTGCTCCAGGACTTACTCCAAACAATGCCCGGGACCTTGTCGCCTCGACAACAGACGACCAGCCCGAGGCAGGTATACGCATTCACGCACACACTTTCACGCACATCAACGGGCAAATAAAGGCCAAGGACTGGAGGCAGCTATATGCATTCACGCACACTTTCACGCACACTTTCACGCACATCTTCGGGCAAAGAAAGCCCAGAGACTGGTCCAAACAACGGCCGGGACCTCGGCCTTGAGAAAAAACTGACCTCAACAATTCAGTGGCACAGTCCCTCGAGGGTAAGATCCCGAGCGAGTCACTAATCCAGTCCATCGAGAAAACTGGCCCCAACTAATCACTGAAATTTCCAAGCACATGCACACTACCACCTTTTCACTTGTTTCTGGACGGAATTGCGTCCAGATAAAAACCGGTGCGACCGCAAATGCGGTCAGGTAAGTCTTACGGCAGGCCCAGGCCCACCCTCGAGAAAACTGGTCACAATCAGCAATGAAATCATGGACGCAGAACGACATCGACTGTGCCAAATGTATAGACAGCGCAAAACTAAACGACCACTGAATCTGATCCTAACACGAGCCAAACATACATTTCCGACACCACCACATCTGATTCATTATCTCTCTCTCTTTTTTTTTTTTTTTTTTTTTTATGCAGAGCCTGTACTCACGCAGAGTCACGCTAATTTCTCAAAAAACGCGAAAAAAGTCAATCTCTAGATTCCTGGGGCTTACTTCCCCCGAGTCCCAACTCGCTGGAGGGGTTGCCCTTTGAAAAACACCTTCAAACAGCGCATCAGAATCGCCGCATGACAACAGTCTAACTGGGAAAACATCTGCAAATGCCACAGCTCAACAAAGTGGGAAAAGTCTTTAACCCAACTCCCCCCCCCCACGACGAGACCTTTGTTTCCATTTGCCCCCCAAAGCGGAAAAAAGTGCCACACGTCCCGAAATCACTTTTGGTCCTGACCTTGTGGTGTCATTTTTGCACCCTGTCTGGGGCCGCTGTGTAAAAATGACGGGAAAGTGATTTGCAGGGGCAAGGGCCCACTTGCGCAAATTAGTAGATGTCGGCCGTTGATCTTTGCTATCTACGGTCAGTATCTCTTAAGTCGTTCAAGTGGGACCTAGCCCCAGGGTGCAAAAATGACGCCGAAAGTGATTTGGAGGCCTGCGGCACTTCCCCGTTTGGAGGAAAATAGAGAGATATGTTTCGTCGCGGGGAGTTTTCACAGGGAAAATTCGTAGGGAAGTTTTACAGGGAAAAGTCGTAAAAACCTCCCCGCGACGAAACATTTATATCCACTTCCCCCCAAAAGGGAAAACAAGTGCCACAGGTCCCGAAATCACTTTTGGTGTCATTTTTACGCCCTGTCTGGCCCGGTAGTGGATACGCCACAGATTAATCCGATCAATGGTAATTGTAAACCGCATACTCTCTCTGCTTAATTCATCTCCGTACGTAAGCTTTTTCTCTAAACAAACTCTCCTGGTCAACGATAAACGTGTTTGCAAATTCTCATCCAACAACCGCCGAGGCGGAATTTCATATTGCCAAACGTTCGCAACATATTCTCATTCAACAACCGCCGAAGCGAAATTCCACGCCAATCATTGGCAATGAATGACAAGTACACACCCTCAACTGGTAGACTGACAAACTCCAGAATCATTCCTAATACACACACACACACACACACACACACACACACACAGANAGAGAGAGAGAGAGAGAGAGAGAGAGAGAGAGAGAGAGAGAGAGAGAGAGAGAGAGAGAGAGAGAGAGAGGGTTGGCAATGAATGACAAAATACACACCCAAGAGTGGTAGACAAACTCCGCAATCATTCCTAGGCACACACACACACACACAAAAACACAGAGAGAGAGAGAGAGAGAGAGAGAGAGAGAGAGAGAGAGAGAGAGAGAGAGAGAGAGCAGCATATGCGCCGTCGCACACAGCACACACTCCGTGCAACTGAAACTGCGTAGACTTCCCCAATGAAATTCCACAGTGAATCCTCACTCGGGAAAAATTCCATCCTACTATCGAATACAAGTAGCTAACTCTACCGTTCACGAAATACAAACAACGAATTGAGCTCCCTCCCTCATGAAATCCCACCCACCTTACGCTAACTGCGTACCATCAGAGCAGTGAATTCACTAGAACCGAATAAATCTCCACCCTCAGAGCAGTGAATTGACCAGACAGTGCAGACACCGAATGAATCTCCACCCTGCGTGAAATTAAAAAAACAACTTCCCACCTGCGGAAAATTATTCCATTCCACTCTTGCCCACCTCCTGTGACCACCATCACCGAAATGACCTCTCAGCCAAATGAGCACCACAGAAGTTTACCCCTGGGTGTATTTTCAACCCATTATCCCAATCCGAACAACGACAACCCCCTGACACCACCTACAGCTACATAACAACAGCCAACTGCAGCAACATAACACAGCCAACTGACGGATCGACTTAGGGCATACTCACACGGGGACCAAAAGAACCAAAAATTTGAGGCATCTGGGTCCGGTTATTTGGGTCATTTGGTCCCTGTGCGGTCACACGTGCGGACTTCGTCCAGAAAGGACGAAGTCGCAATCCTGACACTTCGCACTCAGGGCAAGGTCATGTGGTCACACGAGGGGACACCAAACAAAAGAGAAAGAAAAAAGAAAATAAAGAAACACAACTTCGGCTGGTTGTCTGATTCTTCTACGATTTTCTACAAATTGAGGAAAGGACGGTGCATATTTCCATCTTCTAGCGACATATTATTTTCATATTTCCATCTTCTAGCGACATATTCATTCCCCTATTTCCATCTTCTAGCGACATATTCATTCCCCTATTTCCATCTTCTAGCGACATATTCATTCTCCTATTTCCATCTTCAAGAAACACATACATTCTCATCTCGCGCATTGTGTTCAGTCGTGGAGCGAGGGCCGAAAACTTTCCGAAAAAGATCCTGTCAGTTTAAGGGCGAAATCACGTAATTTCCCAAAAAACAAAAACGAAAATCACGTAACGTAAAAGAAAATTAAAAAAATCTGAGACAAAAAGAAAAGAAAAATCTGAGACAAAAAAATTAAAAAATCACGTCATATCCCAAAAAACAAAAAAGAAAATCACGTAACGTAACGAAGAATCTTTCGATAACGCCAAGAAAGATCCTGTCAGTGTAAACAAGCGAAAACATCTCGGTACACGCCGGTAACTTCTTCAGTCTTCTTCCTTCGACTGATGATGTGGAATGAGGAAGTCGACTTGTTGGCAGCAACGTTTTTACTTCTAATCAGCACGTCCTCTAGTCGGCGGCAGCGTTTCTATCGCTCATCACCAATTCCTTTTCTCGGCGGCAGTGTTTCTATTCCTCATCAGCAATTCCTGTTGTCGGCGGCAGTGTGTATCTCTTTTTCTAGCAATGACCAGGTTCAGATCAGATGCATGCGTAGCTATTCAAAGTAACGGATGCATCCTGCCGCTTCTCTTCAGAAAATGCATTCGTACTTTTTTCATTCCCACAGTGGGCAACGTTCTTCAGTTCATTGACTATATGTCCAATCAGCAAGTCGCCACTATCAAGGCGGCGTTTCCCTGTCTTTTTTGCCTTTTTTTTTTTCTCGATTTATGCGTGTCATCCTTGCGCAGGAGTCATGCTAATCTTGCCTTCTCTGTATCGTTCCAAATTTGACGGATGTCCCGATGGACAAAACGGCGTTTCTATTTCCTTTCGTTGCAGTTTACAGGTTCACTGCTAACACTTCAACCCCTGTCTCTTATACACATCTAGATGTGTATAAGAGACAGCCGTACTCCGTTGCGGCGTTTCTATTTCCTTTCGTTGCAGTTTACAGGTTCACTGCTACCCCTTCAACTCAAAAAAGGCCACCTCGATATATGCCACGTGATAATGACTCTTCCCTCCTTCGTACTCCGTTACACGCGTACGTCACCGTAGAATTCCCCCAGGTTCAAAGAACTTAACCCTGGACCAAATAGGGAAAAAACAAGCACGACAACAACAACAACAACAACAACAACAACAACCACAAGAACCAACCGTCAACCAACTCCCTCGTCGCTCTGGCTACGCAACCGTGTAATCAATCTTCTTCCCTCCCTCAAACTCATCTAATGTACAAGTTTACTATAGTGAGGGGTTCATCGTTCTTCTTCCCTCACTCCGACTCGTCTAATGTACAAGTCTATCGCCGTACACTCTTCTATAGCGAGGGGTTAATCATTCTTCCCTCCCTCAGACTCGTGTAGTGTACAAGTTCGGCACCGTACACTCTCTCATAGTGAGGGGTTCAAAAAGCCTTACCCTCAAATCGGGACCAAACACGAAAACAACAAGAACACCAAGAACCAACCGTCAACTACACGTCGCTCTGCCTACCCACCCCTTCACCACTCCTGTCTGTAATGAACACCTCCGTAACGTACACGGTGCATCGATGTCGACTCACTCGTTGATCCACCTACGGTAACCTACCTGACCCTTAACCATTCTTCTTCCCTCCCTCGCACTCTGTCATTAGTGAACACCTTTGTGACGTATTCTTATTCCCTCCCTCAAACTCCTGTCTGCAACGAGTCCCCATTGTGACCTACACAGTGCCGCGATGTCTATATGATGACGTTTAAACCAATCGTTCGGCTCCACGTCCTCCCCCTCTGTCGAAAGACCGAAACCAACGCATCAGCAGATTCAGCACTGCGACAAGCCCGTCCGTTTGATGTGGACTAGACGCTAGACGCGCAAGCAGATGTAGCTTCAGTACCACTGCGGCACTGCCAGTGTCAAAAAACATCTTTTGAATCTGTCACAATTCTCTTAGCAGCTCATAAACCATAACGAGTCTTTTCCAGCAAAGTCTGAGAAAACCGTGTGCTCCACCCAGCTACACACTGCATAGCTCATAAACCATAACGAGCCTTTTCCAGCCAAGTATGAGGAAACCACGTGCTCCACCCAGCTACACACTGCAGATCCTCCGCCTCCTCGTCCTAGCCCTGCACCGCCCACGTCCCTCCTCGGCCCATCTCTTGCCATACCACTACCGTCGTCACCCGAATAGAAGATCCGGTCATCATAGCCGTATTTGGTACAATTTTCGGTCTACAAGCAGCAGCAATAATGACCGGGCAGACAATTTTCTTATCCCTCCTAAAGTCCCTGCACTGACGTACCACGCTCTCCTCACTTTACTGCCACTGACGTACCACGCTCTCCTAGCGGATCTCCTGCCTCAGGCCCTGTCCACGTCCTTGCTCAGCTGCGCTTCATTCCCCCGCCCTCCGCGGGTTGCCGACACTCCGGTTCCCCACTTCCTCCTTGCCCTACGGTACCCGTCCTTCCCATCCCGGATGAAGTTGCTCCTCCTTCCCGCCCTGTGCCACCCATCATTTTAGTCGTGAAATATGTTCTGCTCGTCATAGAAGACGTCGATCTTATCCCCACTAAGTCCTTGCCCTCCACTCCCTCTCCCTCAGGAAGTTTGTGCTTCTCAACCCCCCAGACCTCCTTGACCTGATGTACCTCCCCTTAACCCCGTCGTCGGAAATGTTGATCCTCCGCCTGGCCCTGCAGTACCGCTCCTCCCAGGCGTCCCCGTCCTCCCAGTCAGTCGTTCTCGTCGTTGATCTTCGTCCTCGCCCTGCAGATGCGACACCCTCCCCCCCAGATCCTCAAAGCCCGGGAGATACGCCTCATGCAGCCCCGCCGGACTTCGTTCCCGTCGTTGATCCTCCTCCTTGCCCTGCAGACGAGCCACGTGCTCCCCCAGCCCCTCCTCGCCCGGCAGATGTGCTTTCCGCCCCCCCGGATGTTGTTGATGTTCCTCCTTGCCCTGCAGATGTGCCACCCGTCGATCCTCCGCCTTGCCCTGAGGTACCCCTCGTACCAGTCGTCCCCGCCGTTCCGGTCGTTGATCCCCCTCCTTGCCCCGCAGAGGAGCCACCGGCTCCCCCTGCTCCTCCTTCACCTATTGTAACCCACGTTGTCCCCGTCATCGGGGACGTTAATCCTCCGCCTTGCCCTGAGGTACCCCGCGTACCAGTCGTACCCGTCGTTCCCGTTGTTGATTCTCCTCCTCGCCCTGCAGATGAGCCACCCGCTCCCCCAGCTCCTCCTTGCCCTGCAGATGTGTCCCCCGCTCCTCCGGATGTTGGTGATCTTCCTCCTTGCCCTGCAGATGACCCACCCGCTTCCCCAGCTGATCCCCCTCCTTGCCCTCCAGATGTGCCACTCACCCCTCCGGACGTTGACCCTCCGCCTTGCCCTGACGTATCCGTCGTACCGGTCGTCCGCGTCGTCCCCGTTGTACTCGTTGTCCCTGTCGTTCCTATCGTTGATCCTCCTTGCACTGCAGATGAGCCACCCGGTCCGCCAGATCCTCCTTGCTCTGCAAGAGTACCACCCTTCCCCCCAGATGTTGATCTTCCGCCTTGCCCTGAGATACCCCCACTACCAGTCGTCCCCGTCGTCCCCGTCGTCCCCGACGTTCCCGTCGTCGATCCCAATCCTTGCCCTGAAGATGACCCACCCGCTCCCCCAGCTAATCCACCTTGCCCTGCAGATGTGCCACCCGCACCCTCGGTCGTTGAACCTCCGCCTTGCCCTGAGATACCCCTTACACCAGTCGTGCCCGTCGTTGATCCTCCTCTCTGCCCTGCACTGCCTGCAGATGACCCACCCGGGCCCCCAGCTCCACCTCGCCGCGAGGGCCACAACGATCTCAACTTAGACCTGAACCACCGTAAGAAGCCCGACGGGCTTCTGCCCTCCCCTCCCTCGCTACCTCCTCCAGACGTTCTCCTGCCCTCATCACCCTCACTCCGCGCCGCCGCCAGCCAAATTAACCTTGAACGGGACTTCCTGCTCGACCTCAAGGAACCGAGTCCCAGCTTCACCGGGACACGGTTTGCCGCAGAACTGAAACTCAGCTCCGCCCGACCGATATCAGGTACACAGAGTGGAGGAGCTGATTGAGACGACGCCCCCCTGTCACTCTGGGATAGTAACCATGTCCGCACTCCCCTTGCACGGGCACCGGATAGCCCATCTCGCCGCTGACATGTAATCCATACACGTGGCGGCGCGACTGATTGGAGGCTAGCTGCACTCGTCATCGCCATGGCCATCCTGTTCATTAGGGTGCACGACGGCGTGCAGACAGGCTGGACCGATCACGGCTTTGAAGTCACACTCCTCACAACAACAGCAGCTCCCGCTCCCACTTCCCTGATCGGCTTCTCCACCGCCTGCGTTCGCGCAGAAACTGTAGCCGCTTCCTTCATGCCACAGAAGTCTATGCACGAGCTGCGGTACGTCAGAGATACGTCAATGAGATAAGGGCATGGGTATTTATCGGGAAAGTTGCTTCATCACTGGATGGAGATCCGTGACGCCTAGTAAGGATGCGGCTAAGTAAGCACGGTTTTGCCCAAGAGAACGGCCACGTCGAGAGAACCGCCAGGTTCATCATGGTTACTCAGCCCACGTCGAGAGAACGGCCAGGTTCATCATGGTTACTCAGCCCACTCTCAAAGTTACTTCAACACTGGCTGGAGATCCGTGACGCCCAGTAAGGATGCGACTAAGTAAGCACGGTTTTGCCCAAGAGAACGGCCAGGTTCATCATGATTACTCAGCCCACGTCGAGGGAACGGCCAGGTTCCTCATGGTCACTCAGCCCACGTCGAGAGAACGGCCAGGTTCATCATGGTTACTCAGCCCACTCTCAGTTTACTTCAGAACTACGTACGTACATGAGCCAAGGCCCAAGGGCATGGCTATTCACTGTGGGAAAATTACTTCAGCGCTGGTTGGAGATCCGCGACGCCCAGTCAGGATGCGACCAATTAAGCACGGTTTGCCCGAAAAACGACGACCAGGTTCATGATGTTAAATCAGCCCAGACGCAGCGTCGATGATGACATGGGTATTCCCGTGAGGACCTCCTGATGGGGACTGATGGGTAAGGGGACGCAGGTGTGCTAAAGCCATACTGACTTGAAGGGCATCTTCACAGTGTTCGTGTTCACACCACTCAGGAAACGAAAACAAGGCGAGTGCATCTTCCTGCAAGAGGTGTCTATATTCGTCCGCTATTACTCATAGCAACGCATGTCGTCGCATGATTTTGCCAAAAATTCTCCGCGAAAATGAAGTAATAAGTAATAACTGTAATACTGTTTTTTCGTTGTGATAGCTGTGGCGAGGCCCAGGCTGGAGTGACACTGGCTCGGTTCACGCCCCCAGCCGAGAGGAGTTAGGACCTCCCATCTCCCGCCGGGCTCAGTCTTGCTGCATGCAACTGGCTGCCAGAGACAGATTGCTTGAAGCTCGCCTGCTGTCTTCCTCCGAACCTAACGTACCCTGAAAGTGAACATACACAAGGTATGTGTTCATTTTTATTTTATTTTATGTTTCTGGCCCGAAAAAAACAAAAAAAAGTAGGGTGCGTTGACTTCGCGGACGACGGTAGGGCGAGACGACTGAACAGACGCCTCGCCACGAAACGTATTTTTTTAGTCTGCAATTTGGCAGGCAAGGGCCTCGATCAACACAACTCTAATAACTGTGAAAAATCAAAACCACTTGCCAGTGTATCGCTCGTCCTTCTTGGTAGGGATATACTACTTCACACAGTACGTAGGGATATAATACTTCACGCAGTAGTACTGTACGTGAAAGCGCTCGCCGTCAATGAACAAGCGCATGGGATTTGAAAGGGCACGCTAGCGCAGCAGCAACGTTGTGCTAGCAATCCTGCCCATAGGGTTAGCTAGCTGTGCCTAACCAGAGCTTGCTGTTGTGCTCAGTCTGCATTCGGCAGCCAAGGGCCTCGATCCACAACTCTAACTGTGAAAAATCGAAACCACCTACCAGTGATTGGCTCGCCCTTCTCGGTAAAGAATCTAAGGATGTGGGGGTTTACTCCTTGGCATAAGGCCCTGCAGCAGGTGCCTGCCGGCCCTAAGTGAAGGTGGGCCCCCTGAATCTCAATGTGCCCTGAGTTCGTCGATCTTGCAAATCTTGGTGGACGCCAGAGCCCCTAGACAGTTGCCACGCACCAGTTGGTTACATCTGCTTTGCTCGAGGGAATCGCAAATACTCGAGAGCCTTCTGGGCTCTTCCAGCACCCTATGTATCCCCCGCGGCCGCGGGGTCGGGCTCGGAGGGCGGCCATGTTCATGGCCGCATCCGCGGCTGGGGTCGGCCACATAGCAGCCACGTTTTTCACAGATCTTTGCCGTTAAAAATAATAGGAAAAAAAATAAAAAAATATATGGGGTTGCAGGGGTTTTCAAACCCTACAACCCCATATTTTTGTTAAAGGAAACAATGAAGTTTTTGGAATTATAAAAAATAAAAACCCGAAAAGACGGAGAGAAGAAATAATAAAAAAATAAAAACAAAAATATGTGTGGCACAGTCGGTGTGTTGGGCAGCACACACAGACTATCACAGACAGTCTGTCACATATGTGTGGCACACATAGACCGTGGCAGACAGTCTGTTGGGCAGCACACGCAGACTGTGCCCAACAGACATTGCAGAACACAGAGCGGTGGGGGCCAGCTCACACACAGTCTGTCACGGTCTGTGTGACAGAGTCTGTCACCGACAGTCTGTCACAGTCCGGTGGGCAGCACACACACAGTTTGACAGAGTCTATGTGCCCCCTACCCGACAGACTCTGTCGTAGTATGTGCGCTGCCCACCAGATTGTTACAGACAGTCTGTCACATAGACTGTGACAGACCTTGACAGACAGTCTGTTGGGCAGCACACACAGACTGTGCCCAACGGACAGTCTATCACAGAGTCTGTTGGGCAGCACACACAGACTGTGCCCAACGGACTGGGATGATTGTGACAGACTCTGTCACAGTCTGTGCGCTGCCCACCAGATTGTGACAGAGTCTGTCACATAGACTGTGACAGACTGTTCGCCACACACACACACACATACACTTGCTGCACTCACACACACACACACATGCACACAGATACACTTGCTGGACACACACACACACACACACACACACACACACACACATACACTTGTTGCACTCAGACGGGGATGATTGTGACAGATTCTGTCACAGTCTGTGCGCTGCCCACCAGATTTTGACAGATGCTGCACGCCGTTCCCACGCTGCTCCATCTGCTCGATTCTGCTGCTCCCCCACGTGCTGCTCCTCCACCTGCTGCTCCCTCCCTCGCTGCTCGTCTGACTGCTGATCCTCCACCTGCTGCTCCTCCCCACGCGACTAAGTCTCGGATCGCAGTCCTGATCGTGTGCCTCGAACATACGGGGCGTCCTCTCTCCTCGTCCAAGACCTGTCGGAGTCCGACCTCTCGTCCACCCACTCCTCGCCGGGAATGTCATCCTCCACCTCCTCCTCCTCATCATCCTCGACGTCAGCGTCCTCGTTGTCCTCCTCCTCCTCATGCCCTAATCTCTGCATGGACCTCGATGTCGATGGCCCAGCTGGATCGTGGCGAACAGTAGTGCTGCCCACCGCAGAACCGGCACCCCCAACAACAGGCCGTAGTCATCAACGACCTCGATGACATTCGCCAAATCACCCCCCAGGTCCTCCTCCTCCCTCAGTTGAGAGCCCCAACCACCCTCCTGCTATCGTGGGCCCTTCATCCCCCCTGCTCTTGAGTCTCAAGCTCCAATGTGAGGACACCAATTTGTTGGTGTGCTGGTGGTGCAACTTGTTCCTGTACTTCGTCTGCACCAGAGCCCAAGTGCTCCAGTTCCTCTCAGCAGGAGAGGAAGTCGTCCAGATCGACAGCACCCTAATCGCCAGCTCGCGGATCTCCAGATGCCCCGCCCTGTGCGCCTCCCACCACAAAACCGCATTGTCCTTTGTAGCCCGTTTCTTCGCCTGTGGGGTGCCAAGGACTCCTCTCCCGAACAGGAAGTCGTAAAGTTGGTTCATGCACTCGTCGAATCTGGTGCTCTTCTTCTTTTCAATGAGCCTCTCGACCACACTCTCAAATTGTGTCATAAGGTTGACATCACTGAATACAGTAATGTCCCTCAACTGAGGATCCAACAGGCGAGCAACAGCGTGGATGGGGTTGCGCAGCATGTCTGTCCTGTTTTTGACTTCCCTGAGAATGTCGTATCGCTGCTCTGCGGTAAGGGGGGCTGATCTATGTGACACCCGCGGCCTAGGCCGCGGGCATTTCGGCCGCTGCGGCCGAGATTCTCGGTCGTGGCCGCGGCCCGGTTTTTCAATATTTTTTTCTCCCCCTAAAAATACGTAAAAAAATAAAATAAAAAAAATGGGGGTGTAGGGCTTGAAACACCCTATACTCCTATTTTTTTTTTTTGGAATCCGACTTTGTTTAAGAGTTTTAAGAAATCAAAAATGAAAATCGATTTAAACCAAATTGAAAAAAAAAAAAAAAAAAAAAGCAAGAATTTTTTTTTGCCATTTTTTATCATGAGATATATGGTCCCTGAGTACACCTGTATTTTTTTTTTAATTGGATTTTTGTTTTTTGCAGGGAAATGAGGTGTTTTAAAAAAATAAAGATGCAAAATTTTAAAAGAAATTAGAAAAACAAAAAGGTTTGATTGATTGATTGATTGATTGATTGAGTGTGTGTGTGTGTGTGTGTGTGTGTGTGTGTGTGTGTGTGTGTGTGTGTGTGTGTGTGTGTGTG